TGCCTCACTGTTATCTGAGATCAGTAATTTGGAAGCATATTTTGCTTTAAATGACTTTTTCTGATTGAGTTGGGGGTGAGATGAAGAATGTGATGATTTTTTTAAATCATGAAATTTATTTTTTAAATCTTACTCAATATATTAAACAATACAGTTTCAGACACACAAAAAATTACTGCAATAAAACAGCTGGGGTGTATTTCCATGGCGCTTCCCTTCCTTATCAGGAAAGTATATTGTCCACTGAGAGACAAGATGGATGGCCTCTCCCAGCTCTACACAAAGGACAAGCCCACCGGCTTTCCTGGGCCTTGGTTAACACATGGAACAGGCTATGTTTTCTAAAATGTTGTAGCAAGACTCATAGGTCAACCATGGTTCAAATCACATATTTACATATTGGTCAATTCTTTATGATAGACAGACACAAATGAAATGCAGTAAATAACTCCAGTTGTTTAAAAAAAAAGTACAGGGGACAAACTTGGTCATTGTACACAGATATCCTTCATGTGTACAGACAGCTTCATTCAGGTGTAATTTTTTTTTTTAATTTTTATTTTAGGTTAGGGTATATGTGCAAGTTTGTTACACAGGTAACTTGTTTGTCTTGGGGGTTGGTATACAGATTATTTCATCACCCAGATAATAAGCATAGTACCCGATAGGTAGGTTTTCCATCCTCACCCCCCTCCCATCCTCCATCCTCAATTACTCAGGTATAATTTTAATTTGAAAGACCTAGATATACTATTATTTAAGTGATAATGGCCCCTAAGATTTATTCAAATTACTATAAAATAATAAACAAATCCGCTATAATTTAAAACTCTGCCCATTGCTTGAAACCTTGGAGGAACCTATGCTATAATCAGTTGCTAACTAAAAGCAAATTGTACGTGTATTTGATATTTCCCCACAGTTTCTACCTCTAGATTTAATTCAGTAAAGGAAGATGATACCTGAAGATGAAGTAGTACCTGTGTCCTAAGTGTCTCTCAGGCACTACTGCATGGAATGGCAAAGGGGATGCAAGAAGCACATCAGATGACAACTGGTCTTAGACGCTTACAAGTCAGCTAAGGTGACTGACAAAGGAATCAAAGAAGGCAGTCATGTCATGGACCCATCAGCCGCATAGCTGGGCAGCCCTGGAGCCGAATCTGGCCCTCAGACTTGTTGAAATTGCCCAGTGTTTTTAAAGACACTGAATTATTTGCCAAAATTTATAACTCAGAAAGTTTCACATAAAAATCCTGCTTGTCAGCTTCCCTGGAAAACCCAGAAGAGGGGGCAGCACTGGGGGGCACAGTGATCTGAAACGGCTCATTGGCAGAGCAGCCACCGCCTGTCTGCAGGCCCCTGGTTCTGCATGGCTCCCTCTCCTCCCTGTGCTGCACCCAGCCCACACCTCTCACTTATGCTACTTGCTGCTGTTTGTGATTATGACCCCTACAGTATAGTCAGGGTGCCATATAATCAAGACAGGAAATATTAGGATCTCAGAAGGAATAGAGCTTACTTTGGAGAGCAGGGTATAGTAGAAAGAATAGGGCTTTAGAGCCAGGCCGATCTACATTCAAATGCTAGCCTGCCCTCCTGATAGCCTTTTGCCTTAGAGAAGTATTTTCCCTCCAGCCCCCTTTGCTTATGATAAAGTGGATAGCATCACCTTCCTTGCCTCCCTTACAAGGTTGTAGTGAGCATTAGCAATAACAGATAATAGAGTGCCTGATGTGCCTGGCACCTGAGCACATGCCATGGTTGATCTTGTGGAAAAGTCTAGCAGGATGCTTTGGTTTAAGTACCTGGAAACTGTTATAAAAAGAAGCATGAAAAAAAAAAATAACCCAACCACCACCAAAAAACAAACTCCGTGTAGATTAAAGAGTTAAATCTAAAAAATGTAAACTCTCAAAAAAAAAAACAAAAAAAAAAAAACTGAAAGGAAGTGCAGTTGTATATTTAACTTTCCTCAGGATGGGAAAAGACTTTCTAAGCATAAAAATCATGAAGACGAGCCAAAGAAAGGTCAGTAGAGTTGACTGTAAAATTTTGAGCTATTCTGTGTTAAATATCATAAGTACAGTTAACAGGCAAATAGCAAATGAGAAAAGCATTTGCAAAAAGTATGACAAACAAATGTCTTACTATCTGTGGTTATAGATCAATAAGAAAACAATGTTAACACCCCCACAGAACAATGGACAAAGGACAAGAACAGAGAGTGTTCACAGCAGAAGAAACAGAAACAGCAAGCAGAATGTAAAAAAAAAAAAAAAAGTTGAACTTGGGCTGGGCGCAGTGGCTCATGCCTGTATTCCCAGCACTTTGGGAGGCTGAGGCGGGTGGATCACTTGAGCCCAGGAGTTCAAGGCCACCCTGGCCAACATGGTGAAACTCTGTCTCTACTGAAAATACAAAAAAAATAGCTAGGCATGGTGAAAGGCACCTGTAATCCCAGCTACTCGGGAGGCTGAGGCACAGGAATCCCTTGAACCCAGGAGGTGGAGGTTGCAGTGAGCTGAGATAACACCACCGCACTCCAGCCTGGGCGACAGAGTAAGACTCTGTCTCAAAAAAAACCAAAAAACAAAAAAAACTTGGTTTGTAATCCAAGATCTCTAAGTTTGAATGAGTTGTCATTTCTCCCCTAATTGTTTTTCATTATTGTCAATTGATAATGTTGAGCCAGAAGATAGATACTGTCATGTTTCCCTGGTGAGATTACAGATTGCTGCAGCCTTCTCAAGAGAGCAGTTTGGTAGTATAAATCAAGTGCCTTAAAGTTCATACATTTGGCTCCAGTAATTCCATTTTTAGGAATATATCCTAGAAATATATGCAGAAATGTTTTGTCCAAAAATCTACTTGCAGCAACTTTTTGTTTATTTTCCCTCTTTTTTTAAAAAAAAAAACTAGTGTATGAAAATCAGTCTCCAATCATGTGCTCCTTACTGCTCCATCATTAGCACTAGCATAATGCCTGATGTATACAGGTGGTCGAAAGGTATTTGTGAGTTTAAAGGAAGGATATGTTCATACAAAGGAATATTCTATAACCATATTTTTGAAATGTATATTTAAAGATACAGAAAAATGCTCAATAAAATATTAAAAATGGAGTGTACACGATTGTATATCTGGAATCCTCTGTGCGTATGTTGTATAAACTCTGGATGATAGGATTGCAGGCGATTTTCTACATTTTCTGTGTACTCTTCCTCAGTCATTCAGTACATATTTATTGATATGTGTGATAGGCACTGAGAATGTTTAACAGGAAGACCACATAAACTTTCCCTCATGGAGTTTGTAAGAGCAGAGGTTGAATAAGTAATTACAAGTGCATCATTTACTTTAGTAAACTTACGTTACTTTTTATATTCTAGAAAGAAAACCTGTATGATGATTTTAAAGCATTGATGATTGTAACTTCTAAGGCATTCTTTTAGGACAAGAAAGGGATGATTATAAGAAAAATCCAAATCTCATACAGTATGAATTACCTTTCCAATGAAAAGAAAAATGTTTAGGTTTCCTGTCTGTTGGATGGTTAATAATGACATAACAGTAAATACACCCTGATTTTTTCACCCCAAATAGCATTTTCTTCAAGGAAATTGAATAGGATGGTATCTTTGTGAGGTGGAGGTAAGAGTTGTGGGAAGCCTTAGAAAAGCATAATTAAGCCTTCAGATGAACTGGCTGCAGTTGGAGGAATGAGAATGTTGATCAGCATTAATATAAAAATATATGTTTTTTGCTTTTTCCTTGTACTTGTAGGGTTTCAAATATTTGGAAAACCAAGAACATCAATAACAAAACCCACCCTGTAGCTTGAGTGTGACCCTAAAAGCTTCTTTTAACCAGGATGAGGGATGGAAAATTTTATCCTTAGCCCTGGTTTTGGGGGGTGTGTTTTGTTTTGTTTTGAAGAAAACCCTGAGTAAATCAAAAGGGCTACAGAGATGTGTTTGGGTAACTTAACCACGCTTAATGACTAGGAAGGCGCTCCTCTAAACAGTCTGACCTGTGTTTCCACTGTTGCTTATCCATTTATCAACTGGAGCCTTTATGCACAGCCATGTGGGCTCCTCTGGCCTTTTATCTGACTCCTCAGTGGAAAAAGTCTCCATGCATCTTGCTTCAGTCGAAGGGTGGCTGTATGGTTTGTTGCCACTCTAGCCTCAAGAGAAGGATGCATTTGTGAGCTCTGCGTTGCATTAGTAGGATCCCTTGCCCTGTTTCCTGTCTGTCTCCTTCTGCAAATTAGGAATGCATCTTCTAAGTCAAAGATCTTAGAAGGAATAAAAACAAGCAGCAAAAAATGATATCACTTCTCACAGAGGGTGCACTGTGTATTGGTGTCTCCTTTGTGGACTGATAAGTGGCTCCCTCCCAGATGAAGGCTCACCCTTGTCTGCTTTTTGGTATGGCTAATGGTTTTGTTGAATGTAATGTGTTCAAAACCAACCTGAGGCTCTCTCTCATTTGAAAAGTTCAGATCTTAGGAACAGTATGTGAAATGTGATAGTTGAACATCACTTTCCATCAGTGGTGATATTTCTCTCTTGCATTTCGGAATTCTCTTTCACTTGTGAGGTGCATTCCTGCTTCATGTTTCCAGGTGGAACTATAGTGTTTACCTATTCTCTTCCACTGATCCAGCACTCCCTTCCCCACAACAGTGTTTTTAATGTTCTAAGAGATCTTCATCTCAGAATTGCCTTCATGTTGTGGTTAAGTGTCTTTCCTTTCTACTTTATTGTATTCTCCTCTCTTAGTGTCTGCACTTGATTTGTAAATTAAGCCCATGTTGCACTCCCTGATTATGTAGAGGGTAGCAGAAATTCTTCTGCTTCTAGCTGTGTTGAACCTTGATCTGGTAGCTGACTGTACAGCCTAAATTAAGGAGCCTTGGACTCTGTAATCTCATGGTCAGTGCACTCCCTCCAGATATCTTTTCTCCAGTAGGACATGTGTCTCCTCTGTCTGGCTTTTTTTTTTTTTTTTTTTTTTAAATCAGAGAGCAGCCTTTTGCTTTTCTGAGATGGAGCTGGGCTGCAGTGAGGGCAGGGTCACCTTCCCACTGCCCTCTGGTTGTCTGAGGGGTCAAAGGTAAATGTCTCGGTGCCCACTTATTACTGGAAGAGAAAAGGTGGCAGACGCAATTAAAATCAGTCACTGAAACCAAAGTTATTTTAAACATTGCTTCTATCTTCTGTCTATAAAAATTATGACTATGTTTGACAAAGTTACTGCCAAAAGTTGGGGCCTGGAACTTAGACTGTTTATGCAAGTTCATGATTGTTTTGATTTTGATTTTCCTAGGGAAAATCTTTGTAAACAGTTAAGTTCTCAGAAGCACCCATACAATAATAAACATAAACACAGTTTGCACTGAAATCACCCCTGCAGTAACCCAAATGTAACCCCTTGTATCGGAAGAGAAGCAGATGAATGAATAGACCCATCAGTTCTGCCCAGAATGGAGGTGAAGAAATCTGGAAGCTCGGATCTGTCCCAGTCTCAGCACTTGACATGCTCTTTGTTGCTGCGAGCACAGAAGTTGTTTAATGTGCCTGCTTTTCAGCTGTGGAGGAGTCACACTACCAGTTGATTACTTTGCAGCCTATGCTGTGAAGACTCCTGAGAATATTGGACAGAAATTGCTTTTGAGCTCTCTCTGTAAATACAAGGCATTTGTATCCTAAATGTGCAGGAGTCGTGATCCATCCCCAAAGATGTAAACAGCCAATCTCAGTTTGACAGCACTATTTAGGTCAAGCCAGAGCTCCCTTTGAGAAAATCCTACTGTTGGCTATTCTGAAAAGAGGCAGGAGTATATCTCCAAAACTCCAAAGTAACCATGAGAAGAATAGAGACTGTAGGTGCCAATTAGTAAATTAGCATCCATGGTAAGAAGGTGAAGGAAGTCATTGCATCAAGTCTTGGTTAAAAGGACATTTTCCCTACACTGAGTATGTCAAAATGTAGAGCACAGCATCAGTCAGATGTAAAGAATTCTTGTACACGTGACTTTTATTTCCTTCATAGGCCAGAATGGGCTTTTCTGCATTTTGGGTTATGATGATGACACTAATAGCTAGCACTTACTGCATGCCAGTCTCCAGTGATTTACACATATTCTATCAATGGAGGCTCACCATAGCCCTAGGTGGCAGTTACTGTCATCCTCCCCATTTTACAAATGAGTAAGTCAGGGTACAGAGAGGTTAGGTAACTTGCCCACAGTCAAGCAGCTGCAAGTGACAGAGCTATATATGGATTCCCACAGTCTGGCTGAGCAGAGGTTTCCATTTTTTTTGACCTCTGTCAGGTTCTGTTGCGTCTTAATTACACAGGCAAAAAATTTAGCGCAACAAATGCTGTTTTCTAGGAAGAGAATGGAGACTACACGTATGTGGAAAGAGTGAAGATACCCTTGGATCACGGGACCTTGTTAATCATGGAAGGAGCGACACAAGCTGACTGGCAGGTGAGGATGTGCAAGTAATATGAATCTACTCTCATGTGGAGGCCGTTTCCCGACTCTGAGGACTATTTCTAAGTAGACATGGTGAAAAGCAATCTGCTTTTATAATGAGCCAGAGGGAATGAGCTGACATTCTTTCCAAGGAGTTTTGATACTACTGACAATCCAGATGGACACTAGTGTGTCCAGTAGAACTTTCTGTGATGATGAAAGCGTTCAGTATCTGTGCTGCCGAATGTAGTAGCCACTAGCCACATATGACTGACTTCTTAAAATGTGGCTTGCATGCTATAAAGAACTGAGTTTTTAATTTAATTTTAATTAATTTAAATCTAAATAGCTTCAGGGTAGCTAGTGACTATCTTATTGGAGTACACAGTTCCGCAGCTAGGCCATGCCATTTTTAGGCCAGATCATTTCTAAGGTGCACATGTTAATGTCAAAACACTTACCTTGAGAATGGAATCTCATGCCTCTCTTTGGTCTCATCCATTTATATGTTTATGAGATTTGGGAAATGGCAGATGTCTGAGAGGAACAGCAACAATTAGAAAAGATGAAAATATCTCACTTCAGAGGTGCTGGCATAGCACAGTGGGGCTGGAGATGGAAATTTGTTTCAAAGAAGGAAGCTTTCTCCACAAGACTTCAAAGAGCTTACTGCTCATTTAAGGGGGTTAGATGGAAATACTTCTGTATTCTCATGAATAAGTTTTAAGTCCCTTTGAACTAAAAGTGTGTGTGTGTGTGTATTTATGTCAGAGTTATGTGTATTTCCATTTAGCATCGAGTGCCCAAAGAATACCACTCTAGAGAACCGAGAGTGAACCTGACCTTTCGGACAGTCTATCCAGACCCTCGAAGGGCGCCCTGGTGACATCAGAGCTTTGAGAGAGAAGCTTCACTGAAACGGAGCAAACCTTCCACTGAGAAGCGACTTCAAGAGGCTGGTGCTGCTAGATCTCGTGATGTGGCTGTTGGGAAGATGGTGGGGTTTGTTTCCCAGCTTGGAGTCCTATTAAATGAGAGCCAGCAACTCATGTTGGTAATAGGTCTACTGTGGGAACAGTTATCCCGAATCACAGCTCAAAATGCCTATCATCTTTAGGCAAATTAAAATCTATGTGGCAGTGCTCATGGATGATTTTGTTCGTAAGCAGTTTTCCTCCTACCCTTCCCCTCCCCCCGCACCCCACCTTCATTTGAAGAAATATGAATGGACTTGTGCTTCTGGGGAAAATTTCCGCGTGTTTGTTCCTTGTGACTTCAGTGAAGCGGAGATATAAATATGCATCAGGGACTCTGGAGCCTTCCGTAGGCAGACAGCTGCTGAAACCCAAACAGAGGTGGTTTCATCTTGGCTTGCATACTGTTGTAATGGAAAGCTACATATCCAGGGAACACTGTAACCGAGTCTTCCTGCGACACACTCAGACAGTTACAGGCCTCCAAAGAAAGAGTGGTGGCAGTGTGCTCTCGTCTAGCCACTTTCAAGCAGTCACCTGTAATACAAGAGAAAACTATCCCCTTAAAGGGAGGAATCACTGAATGATGTCACAGGAAATAGCAGGCTGAAATTGAGGCTGAAGAACAGCAGAAGCCCTACTCATGACAGCTGTTCCACATAGATTATTTTCCCCTAGGGAATCACTTGAGTCATCTAGACCCAAGTCAGATAGAAGTGGGAGCAGCCCTGCAGGGAATACACTCAATTGCCTGATAGTTCTCTTCACCTTGTGTTTCAGTAGCCCTGTGACTAACACTGTCTTCTGACTCAATGTTTTCTTACATACAAGGTCCCAAGGTACAAAGGTTAGTCTGTGATGTCACTGAGGTTCCCAAAACAAAACAGAGTGACTGCCCATTATTGCATCATAAAACCACGTGTCATCTTGACCTCTTGACTCAGGAGCTGTGTACCAGATTAATTCCAAACCAAGATACAGAAAACCTGAGAGAAAGGAAATGAATTTAAATGGACGAAAATAGGGCGGGAGAGTTAACAGTTTCTCTGTCTGCCAGTGGGGGCAAGGTACAGTGCCTTCTTGCTTTTTATCCTGTTTCCATTCCAGGCTGTAAGATTGATGCTCCCCACGATCATAGGAAAATGCCAAAGGCTGGGCACGCTCTGACTCGGCACTCAGATGGAGCACCATACCTGGCCAGGCTGTTCTCTGACAAGCTCTCTGGCTCCTGGCATTGTAGTCCCCCTGCCCTTTTAAAAAACAAACAAACAAACAAAAAAAAAAAACAACAACAAAATGAGCCTAGCTTGTTTCTCTAAGAAATATGGAATGCTTTATAAAATGTGAGCGCCGTACCAAGCTTTCATGTGAGGGAAGTTCAAATCACCGTAAGAGTAAAATAAAGCCTCTTTTTAATTCCTAGCTGTTCTCCTATTAATGCAAACAATACCTGACCAGGTGATACAGCCAGCTTGGTGATAAGTTTGATGCATGACACTAGGACATTTATCTTCCCTTCCTTACTAATGAAAGAACTGGCAGATGGTTCCAAGTCTTCCAGCGTCCCTCTTTCTTAATGGAGGGTCATGATCTCCCCTTGCGGCAGCTGTGCATTTGATCTCTTCACTTGTCACACCCATGTCTTTCAGGGAAACATTTCTGCTATACAGCAGATGGGGTTGGCCACCACCTGGGTTTCTTGGTCTGAGAGCAGGAAACCTTCGGTTTTGTTTTTCTTGCTGTCACTCCAGATACCACATGCCAGAAGTGCCCTTTTCTTTACCCTTAAGATAATGTCCCTTCTGAAATGTCCAGCAGGTACTTGCCATAGAGTAAAACTACAGGGTGTAGGCATAGACAGGAATTCCAGACCATGGCAAAGCGCAGTGTGCTCAGTGACCACAGCAGCCTGTTGCTGTGTTTTGCTGGTGCTAGATCTGAACTAGGAATTAGAGGTGAAGCTGTTTTTGCTTACATTACATGTAAAGCTGAGGAAGCAAATATAACAGCAGTGGCATGAATTAAGTTTCGGTTTTGTTTTGTTTTTTGCTGCCCTTTTTCTGAGCTTCAGCAGGCACCGTCCTAGGAGCTTTTATGCATAATCCCTAATCTTTCCCACAGCGGTGCAAGAGAGAGATTCTGTTCCCATTGTAGAGCCTAGGAAACTGAGTCTCCAAGACGTTAGGTAAGTTAACAGGGCTTGTAGTGGCAGAACCGGATTTCAGACTGCAGGCTAGTCTCTCGGCCTGTTTGGTTTTCCTTTGCCATGCTGAATGTAGGCAGAATGGTCTGCTGAGCACTGCTGGGAGCCTGAGCATCAGGGCTGGCTCCTGCCGAGCTAGTCACAGCTGACCACAAGCCACCTGTGTGTTCCCTGGCTTTCCTGTGCATCAGGGCAGGCATCTGCATCTCATCTTCCCTTAATCAGCATCAGCATCTTCTAGCCAGAAACTGCCGGTGACTGGACTAGCAGTTGCCCATTTCATTGGGGAAGCTCCTTTTGGGGGGCAGAATCCAACTTCTGGTGTTAGACAAATTCTCAGCCAACTTTCCTTGACTTTCTGGCAAGTGTTTTCTGACCATATCCACCTTCAGAGATACAAAACTTTTAGAGACAGATGAGTTTTCCCTTGTGATCCTTTCTCACCTCATTCTTATCTGTGAGTATACTTGGGGACCCTGAATGACACCAAACTCATATCAGGCTTTTTGACAATACTTACCAACACCATTACTCCAGTCAGCAGCCCAAAGAAACATCAGGCTCCACACTAAAAATGTCTTCTTTGTGACAGGCAACTTGCCTCCAAACATGGGTTGGAACACTCACACTTAGCACCAGATTGCATCCCCAGTGTTGAAATCAGGATCCACATTGATCCATTGTTAACCCACTAGCTCGGGTGGCATTGACAATTCCTGATAAGTTTGAGTCACAGCTAATAAACCTGCCCTTTCCTTGTGGCACCCACTCTCTGCCTCTGTGACTGATGTGATCCAGCCGTAGTACATGGCAGGTCTGTCTGGACACAGTAACTACAGAGCCGTCTCCTGAATTGTGTCATTGCAACGCTGGAAGAGTTAAGTAGGCCCTGCAGTGGCTGAATGCTCCAGTTGGAGGGTTTCAGAGAAAGTCTTGACAAATGACAGGTTCCTGCCCTGCTGGGAATATTTCTTCTTTGAGTTCTGGCAGCTATTACTTGGCTGCAGAATATCTAAGACCCACTTTGCCTTTTCTGGTCATAAACACTTGTAGTGTTGAATCTTAAGTCTTGATTATTTTTTTTTAATAGTGGCTTTGATAAAGCTGAATGTTTCCATAGTGATGTATTCTGTTTATTTAAAACTTTACTTATACATGATTCCACCCACACGCTGTCCTCAGAGGGACCTGGTCTACAACTGCCTTCTTCCCCCACCCCATTTTCTGTTTGGAAGGAACACGCATGTGAGACCTTTGTCAGATTGGTGCTGCTAGAATCCATTCTTAGATGTGATTCCTGCGCCTGGGTGTCAATAGGGAAATGACTTCAGTGTTTATTTACTAGAGTGACTAATGGTGCCTTTTCCAGCTGGTCTAGAGCTGATGTGCCTCCATTTATAAAAGCCTTCCCCAGCCTGTGAATAGAGCCCCATGTTGGGCTGAGCTGTCGGTTAGCGTTTAAGCTGGAGGGGGAAGAGGAGGCAGTGTCAGAGCACAGTGGAGGAAAACAGGATAAATTAGGCTGTAGCTTTGTAGCCAGCATTACCAAGAAGGCTGTTTTCTCAAATGAGCTTGCTTGGAGCTGGCAGAGGCCTGTGTGTACGACGCTGTTAGGATGATTTCTGTGCCATCACTCCCCCTCATAGGAGCAGTGATGTCACGCTCTCTCAGCACAGGGACAGTCCCTGTTTTCATGTGGCCTCCAGGAATGTGGACGCGCCTTCACTGCTCTCACTGCTGTGGCTGAGCCCACTGATTTTTAGCTCTGGATGCAAATTCTGGTATCTGAAAGGGAAGGAAAGGGGAAAGTGGGGAGGGAGCTCACAGAGCAGCTACTCCTTTGGGACCACAACATCCATAATCTGATTTATTCCCAAAAGAATTCCTATGGCTGTTTTTGTATTTTCTAAACACCTGAGGAAACTGAGGTACCCAGAGGATTTATCAGATCTGGGATCCGGTGTCCCCAGTGGGCTGGGAGAGATAGCCCTGGGTGGCTAGCCAAGCCATGCCTGCTGCTGTGGCCTGTGGGACCTCCCGTCCCCCCAGCCCTGGCCCCGGGGCCGGCAGCCTGGGCAGTGGGAGCGCTGCAGCCAGAGCCCCCCGTGCCCGTCTTTTTCTGGGAGCCCGGGTGGGAGCTCTCCACGGGCCGGGTAGTGGGAGGAGGAGGCTTTGGGCTGCACGGGTGCCTGAGGGCCTTGTGACTGTGTTGCAAGGGGCTGCTCAACGCAGGAAGGACAGGGACAGGCGAACTGGGACAAGGACCTAGATGCGGGAGGCCGGGAACCCAGTGCTAGCCCTGCAGCCTCCAGGCTATGTGTGGCCAAACCCGTTCCCGCGGCCCGAGTGGCGGAGCCAGAAGGGCCGCCTTGCAGGAAGGCGCCCAGGCCCCTCGCACCCTGGCAGGCCAGCTGAGTCCTCGCTGCCTGAGTCTGAGCCGCCTGCCTGGGGGCTCGGTCAGGACACCAGCCTCGCCACCAGTCTGCGTTTGGAGGATGGCTGCGGGGCCACCTAGGGGTGAACCCACTGAAGGTGGGATCTGCCCTGAGGGCTTCTGTAGGCCTGGAGAATGTAGGATAGCTGGAGGAAGGATGCCATGGGGCCTTTCAAATGGGCAGAACTTAGGAAAGTCAGAGAGAGGAGGGGAACCCCACGGAAGTGTCTCCTTCAGGTTGTTTCCTGGAATGTTTCCTCTGAAAACATGTTAAGGGACTAGCCACCAGTTTCTTCCCAGCTTTCTCTCTCTTTCTCTCTGACTTTCAGCTTCCGTTCACCTGGAGTGAGAGGGAAGGGAGGACAGCTGGCCCGGAGGTAAAAATCAAGAGGGGAGGCATGAATGTATGGCTTCTCACTCTCCTAGCCTGCCCAGCAGTGCCCTCCTCCAGGCTCCTGTGCTGGGAGGAGGGGCGCAGAGAGGAGAGCTGGTGAACTCCCATGCACATACTGCCCTTTGACTCCCTGAAGCCCTGTGGGGTGTCCATAGGGGACTACTTGAGAGTAGTCCGTATCAAATGCTTAGGCCAGTGTTCTTTCTGCCACTCTGAGAGGACTGGTGACAAGAGGGAACACGGGGAACAAGCAGCCCCAGAAGGTCACAGTGCCTATCGGGACCGCCCTCCAAGGAGCAGTATTGATAGTCTCCATGCTGCACCAGCCAGGTGGCTGGATATGTGGCAAGGATCACTGCTGCAGCTTGAGGTAGCGTCGTCCTCCTGAATCTACTGCCAGCTGAGCTCTGCACCAACCGATGAGGGGAATTAGCTGGACAGTTTCAGACAAGACTGGCCCCGTTTGCCTTTGCAAGGGGGTACATGCCCCCTCTTACAGTCACAGTAGTACCTGCAAGGGTAGAACTGGGGAGCAGCTCCGACACCCCACCCCTACCCTCGCCTCCACATCTATTGGAATGCCTGCCCGAGCCCTGTGGGGAGAGGTGGAAAGAGCCTAGGCTTCAGTCAGGTGAACCCAGGGTTGAATCCCAGCTTCGCCCTTTCTAGCTGAATCACCTCAGACCAGTCAGCCTCCAAGCCTCAGTTTCCGCCGCCGTGAAATGGACTCAGAAGCAGCCCTC